CCCACCTGACTCCAACCTCCTTTCAGGGAGTTGTAGAGGGCAATGAGGTCACTCCTGAGCCTCCTCTTCTCCTTTTCTAACTGAAGAACAGTACGTGTGTAGACCAGGTTAAGGTACCATGATCAGAAAGATCATATGGGAAAAAATACACTATGGTATAGTCCAGGAGTTACCATAGTATGGTTACCATAGTGTATTTTTTCCCATGTGATCTTTCTGTCCATCATTGGGAACTTAGTATAGCATAGATGTGAGAAAGACATTAAATAAGATTTTTCATCGATTTTTTTAAAAATAAAACCAGTGATACTGACATAACTTAAGAAGCTACTAGTGTGGTAATGAAGAACATTACCATCCTTCATCTAAAGACATATGTCAGGACAAAATAGCAGAGAAAACTTAGAGGCCCCTCAGCCTGTCAATTTTCATATCAAGTAGTCATTACAAAACGTTTCAGTTGTACAATTTTTTGCACCATTATTCTTTTCTGATGTCTGTATTAAAAGTAAATCAAAGCTGCAACTGGCTGACAGCAGTCATTAATCCCCTGTGATCCAAAGCAAAGGTATGAACAGCACAATGACTTATGGAAGCTTCAGCAAGGCATCCCAACTTCTGGAGCTGCATAACGTATAAATAATACGGATGGGGAGGATAGAAGGAGACAGACAAATTAGAAACAAATTGTTCCACAAATAAAATGATTGTGTGTATCAGCTGACTGTGGTAGCAGCCAGCCCTTCAGCAGTTTGAAGAATATTCAGAAATTGCTTTGTTGATGAAGTAATTACTTCATCCAAGTAGTCCAAGACAAGTCTAAGTTGTAGCTTCAGTTGAAGTAGAAAGCTGGTGCCAATGTAGCTCCATTAAGTTAATGACACTATCCTTTTCAGAGAATTTGGCCCTGTGATCTTTGTTCTAAAAGAAAAAAAGGATCTTTTGCAGTGTTTACATCCTGCTACAATGAATCAAGGACATTTTGCATTTGAAAATGCTTCAAAGCTACATCAAGTTGTCAAGTCATCGAGCAAGCTAATGCAAATATCCATGATTGTACTATCTCAGTTGTAATGGGCTGCATACTAGGTATTCAGAACAAACAAGCTGTGAGAACTGCTCATTTCCACATGCCCTGATAGGGTTCAAAGATGCTTATCTCTAAGCAGTCTGTTCTGTCTTGCTTTTCTTTTGCATGCTAAATGATGTCTAGTTTCCCAAAATGAGTTGCTGAAGTTGGAGGAAGGATTCCATTTCCTTTGCCAGTTTAGCAGCCTCTGCAAACGGTTTGGGAATTAAGTGCAATTTCAGTCCTCACAATGTTTCCCTTCTTTCCCTTAAGAGGAAAAAACTGAGTCTGAAATCACCAGTGACAAGCCACAGAACACATACATATGAATCTGAAAAAAACCAAAATTGTCCTTGTCTTCCTGTTAATAATGGATCTGTTAATAAAGCTGGTTGAAAGCTGAGGTAATTTTACTTACTCCAGGCCCATATATTCATATTCAAAATAACTAGCATTTATCTGACAAGGAAAACAAAATTACAGGAGAGCAAGGCATTTTAGTTAAACAAGAGTTTGTGCTTCTCTACTATGTGTATTCTTCACTCTTCTTGACAGTCAATCACAACCTTTTGCACACTTCATGGTGCCAACTTGGTACAGTTTACAATACATTGCTGCATGTGGTTGTATCTGAACTGGTTAAAGCTAAATGCAAAAATAAGCACAAACAAAAATTGCTGCAAAAATGGCTGTAGCAGACTGCAGAGCTGCCCCATCATGGATAAGGTCACTCTGACAGTGTCTTAAGCACAATCCTGAAGGTAACTCACCTTTTGGGATATTGTTCCTAGCCTTTTCATGGGAGGTGCCAGGAAACTCTCGCTTTGTTCAGAGTGCTATGGCTCTATTGTGTGGGTTGGTTTTTTTTCCTCATATAAACATGCACTAGAGTCTACCAGCTCACCAGATTCCAGGAAGGAAGCAAAAAATAAAAGCAGAAGTTTCCTTACCATGTTTCTCTACACTGTTTATAGCAAGACCAGCTATCTACTTACAAATGACTTCCAAAATTCCATCTCCAGACTTTAGAAGTCTAGGTTGAATACTGAGCTGTATTTAGGCATGCATATGAATCCAGGACTATCTGAAATTAACAGGCCCTTTTATTCCAGCAGTAGATTTCCATGCAGTGAATGCCTGGCCAAGAGTTCCATCAAGAGTAAAAGTGGAGAAGACCAACATACACAGACATACCTACACTGGAGAGAGTGCCCTGTGCCTGGCTACAGAGGCAGCTGGGCTGGTTTGCAGCAGCGATTTGCCCAGCAACAGGACAAGGAGTAATGGTCATAAACTAAAACAGAAGAAGTTCCACCTCAAGATGAGGAAGAACTTCTTTGCATTGAGGGTGGCAGAGCACTGGAACAGGCTGCCCAGGGAGATCTAGGAGTCTCCCTCTCTGGAGACATTCAAAACCTGCCTGGATGTGTTCCTGTGTAACCTGCTGTAGATGACCCTGCCTTGCAGGAGGTTGGACTAGATGATCTCCAGAGATCCCTTCCAACCCTAACAATTCTGTGATTCTGTGAACCTTGGCACTGGAGAAAGGCTTGATGGTCAGTTCCTATCTGAAGTTATCACTACTAATAGCATTTTTGTGCTCTGTCTAGTTACATGACCTGACAAGTATTTTGAAAATGATTACATTAGCTTGCACAGAAAAGTAATAAAGAGCATAACTTAAAACTTGTAACTCTTAGATGAAAGTAGGCATGTAATAGCTGCTTAGCTGCTGCACTTCAAAGCTGAAAACTAGTTGCTAACATCTGATGCTGTTTAAAGGGGTGAATTATCTAAATAGTTTGTGCTTTATTTAACAGAAATTTCCAATAAACCTCATTCCGTCACTTTGAGTTATGTCACTTCAAGCCATGTGACATGAAGGCATTGATGTAAGTTTGACAGACAGTGCCAATGCTGACATGTCAGTTTGAGAATTTATGACAAATGATATGCTACAGATATTTCTAAAGCTACTGTGGATTGCCAAGGAAAAAAAGTCTTTAAAATGTGTAATAACACTGATGCATCTTTAGATTGAAAACAATTTATTCAATCCACATAGTTATATTGATTTAATGTTCAGGCTGACACTTAATAAAGGAAATTTATATTGGAAACTCCCAACTAGCTCAAGTTACAATATATTGTATAGCAAAGGAAAATGAGATGTGTTCGTGTAATGTGTTTTCTAAAAAAACACTGTCATTAGGTGATACTGTTAGCATTTAGTAATTTGAAATAATCTATCTCAAATAAATCTTAAGACCCTACACAGGAAAAAAAGGCCTCAGTTGAACAGAGAATTAATTGCTTATGAAAATTCTCACCCAGCAAAGAATGCAGCATGGCAAGGGAGGTACCTTTCACTAGAAGTGCTAATTGATCTAAATCATGTTCTTTTCTTCTTCAGGGTTTGGGGTGGGGTTTTTTTTGTAATCTCATTTTTATACAGATGAGGTCCTGCCTTATAATTTCTTTGTAATCTTTGTACTTCAGCTGAAGCATACTTAGGTCAGTCATGTGTGAACTTTCAAGCATCTATTTTATCTTCAAATTTCTTAATTCAGTAATGGAAGAAAAAGAGACTGAATGCCTAAGGACTAATCAAATTAGTGAACCATAATCATTTTTCAAGACAGAAAATGAGCTTACTAGAGGAGGATTAAAAATAGGAAAGAAAAAAGAATAAACCCCTTGTGCTCACCAGACAAAATTTTTCCATACTTTAAAAATACATTAATGTTGTAAGACCCCAGAAGACCCTGTCTCACTTAGCATTGACTAAATGTACCAGAATTGAAATAGTTCAATACTTCTTCAATAGTTAACTATCCCAAAAATCAAATCCTGAAAACAGGCTGATGAGTGAAATGAGATCTTTTGCAGCTGGAGGTGCTGTATCTATAGAATCATAGCTTGCTGAACTTCCATGCTATAAAAGCTTTCTTCTTTCAGGGTATGTGAAAGGAGCTTGATTTTGGTCCTGTTTTCACTAGAGAGATGGAAAGGTGTCACAGGCATAGCATCAGTTAGAACTGATAACAGTATTTTCAACAGAAGAAATAGAAGAGCCAACTGTGAATGTCCTGGTTTTGACTGTGGCACCTTTTCCTGGTAATGCCATGCTGTGTGCTACTAGAGCACTCCGTGGCAGTTTCCACTGTTGCCTCCTAATACAGTATTAGCCAGAGAATGTTTGATTTAGATTATTGCACCAAGTACTACCTACGAAGTAATCACAAAGGCATAGTCACCTTCTGTTGCATGTTCCAAAGTTAATCATGCATTAATTTAAACTAAAACAGCAGGTATTTTATGTTCCTATGTAATTGCACACAACTGTTTGGCTTAGAGCTGCAATGGCCAGGAGATTCTCCCAATTCTTGGAATCTTAAAAAGCTCCTCCTGCACAAAAAGCTAAATTTGCCTCTGTTCACTGTGACAATGTATCAGTTTGTTTCATCTTTACACCCAATCTTCATAGGTTTAAAAGGGCCAGGAAAGAAGCAAAGGTGTGAAGAGGCAAGTCCATCTGAAAGCCAGATCTTTGTCTTCTGTCTGTTTCAAAGGCAACTCCTGGCAAAAAAAAAAGGGTCAGTAACACAGCTGTTTGCAGACTATTAGATGTTTAGAAGATGTTAGGTATGGAATGCCTGAGTTTTGAAGCAGATGGCTGTATGCCATACAAATGTTGGAGGCACACAGGACTCGTTTTTCTGGAGTTCATGTTTTTCTGTTTGTCATCTTTCATGTTGCACATGAACTTTGAATTCTTAGTCAGTGCATTTGGAGCAGAGGCAAATAAAAGTTTTACAGCTGAAAAGGGCTAGACTTAAACAGGAGTGTCACCTTCATGACAGAACTTGATTGGCAACAAATGGGCTGGGGTTACATTTAACAAAAAAACAGATAGCAATGCCTCACCGAGCCTCCACCCAGAAACCTGAGAAAAGTAAACTAAATTGGACAACTTGGCCTGCTCTGTCAATTTTCCTCATTCATGAGCACAAACCAGTCAGCTTAAAAAGTACAAGTTTACCTAACGGAAAAAAAAAAATAAAAGAACAAAACAGAAAAACAAAGTAACAGATTAAGAGCATATTCATAGTTTGAAGTATGAATTCAACCATTTTTCCAGCCCTCTCCTCTGCCAGACCTGGCCAGCTGGTTGCCTCACTCACAGCAGAGCCTGGCTGCCTGTCCCACTGCCCCCTCTAAATAAGCACTGCAGCACCATTGCTTGTAGTTTCCCTTATTTCACCTTTTAGACCAGAATATATATGGCAGTGGGAAGTAGCAATCTCTTTGTATACAGGAGGTTCTTAACCATTTTCTCCCCTAAATCCACAGAATATTAGTCATTTCTGCTTTGTGAGATATCCTATACAAAGTCACTTTCTTTTCTCTTTTTGCATACGACTTTTGCCCTCTGATGCTGGAAACTATTGCCTTGTATTAAGGTGACCTCTCACCATGAATACTCCTAAGCATAGTTAATTAGTCCAGGCTTTAATACCCAGTGTCAAATGTCTCTCCATGATATGTCTCTCTCCATCATAGTATGTCAGTATACGTGGAATAAAGGTAGCTCAAACCTGACCCAGAGTTCTTTCCATTCATTGCCTTTTTTCTACAGGGAATAATATCTGCAGCAAGCTTCTCCTCTTGGGTCACCTTCTCTATTGGACTGCCAGGCTTACAGAAAAAGAGCATCAACATTTCATTTGTTTTGCCTTGTAGCTCCATCACTGACAGTTTTGCAGCCCCTGCCAGGAGTCACATCCTGCAGACCAGAAGCACAGGCACTGCTGTACTTGAAAGGGCCCACTGATACTACAGTTTGATATAATGGCTCTTCAATGTGTGTCTTGACAGACCTTCCTATATAAACTAACTCAGTGGCTTACAAGTTTCACCTGACAACCATTATATTCATAGTCTTTGTTTTCTTTTCAACAGAGTGAAGTATCATGTAATATGTGACAGGTGTATTGTGTTAACACAGTGATGAAAGCAGTAACTGCAATAGAAGATATTAAACATACAGTACAGTTAGGTTCAGATAATTTTAGTTGGTGAAAAAACAGTAGCCTCAGGAAATAAATTTAACTAGATTTTCAGTAATAGGCAAGACATCATCATCCACTGGTGTTTAACCATGTTGATAGGACTCCCTAGTGCATTTCTGACCTCTTCATAGCTATGTTTTTAAGCATCTCAAAATAAATGGCAGACAACTGTTACTAGGACAGAATTGCCACTATTCTTGCACTGGATAGATTTCTGTTTTTTCTTCATCAGGCCTTCAATTGCTTGTGATGAGTGGCCAGATCTTACTGACTGCCACTGCTGTGTCAAGGACATGGCCAAGGACAGTCAGAGCCATGCACTGCTGGGTGTTCTGCAGGCAGGGGCTTCTGCCACATGTGGCTGGTGTGTGCAGTACTGAGGCTGCTGTGCAGCAGAGCAGTGGAGCTCTGGAGGAGCAGACTGGAACCAGTAAGGACCCAGTAGTGCCCAATTTGGTACATGGTTTCACCTGGCTGTGCCGGTCAGGGTCATGCCCAGGCGAGCAGCTAGCCCTGGGTAGGAGGTCTGGGGGACACTGCAGTGCAGGGACAGCCTGGCTGCCCTGCACCTGCCCCAGCCCATCTCCCAGTCTCCCTCGTGACTGACTGGGGGCTGGCAGCACCCCAGCACACAGTGCAGTGCCTCTGGCCGGTGGGAGTGGGGTCTCTCCCTGGCTCTCAGCATGTCTGGGGTGGAGGCACTGAACACCCAGGGACCTGACAACACTGGGGCATGCACGGGGGATGTCCCCTCCCTTAAAGAAATTGAGCAGCTTCTGAATACTGGGCGGCCCTCTTGCAACCACGTTGATGAAGTATGGCCTAATCTCTTCTTAGGAGACCTGTAAGTACAGCTTTATGGACACACCTCTGCCATACCTTCTGTCTGTTAGTATGCCTCATGGGTGCGGCTTGAGACAGCTCATAGTTTTGCTAATTGCTGTCATTTACACTGCAAACAGCAGGATTTCCGAGATAAAGTTATGACTAAACTGGTACTTGCTTTATTAGCCCTTAGAAGCAATGCATGGGCTGATGCTCCAGCAACTGGAGTAGGACATGCTCTCTCACAGTGCTTCCCTGGCTCTGTGTATATCACTGCACCCATCTTGATTTGTTTGTGTTTGTCTTTTCCTTAGAGTAACAGCTCACAACAGATTTATTTTGTGGAAGATGGGTGTGACCCATGTTTTAAATGCTGCCCATGGCACAAGGTACAGCCACGGAGGCCAGGACTTTTATGGAGCGACCATCGATTATTATGGTGTACCAGCCTATGACCTGCCAAGCTTTGATATAAGCCAGTTCTTTTTCTCTGCAGCACAATATATCCACAATGCCTTGAACACGCCAGGAGGTACGAAATTATTGCTGGTCATGTTTTGATATGAGTTGGCAGCCTCTCATAACAGGTCAGGTCCATGAGTGGACAAGTCACTACATGGTATCCTGCCAGCTGCTGGTCACCTGCACCATGGGTGGCAAGAGGAGGGAGTGCTGTGTACATGGATGTAGTTCTAACTAGGTCCCAAAAGTGATGTGAGAAAAGAGATGAACAGTGTAGGAGAGAGGCTGGGGCAGGGACAAGAGGATGCAGAGTAGAGAGAAGAATATCTGTAAGGAAAGGCTCTTTCAAAGAGGGAGATGCAAAAACACACATTTAAAATGGACACCCACTTTTGAGACCCTCTTATAGCAACTGTATTTATAAGAACAAATTGATAAAGAGACAAAAGTCTTGATTTCTACAACCACCAACCTTATGAAGAGGCTCATGTATTGAAGATGAGCTTCTTATGTGATCTGGGCCTGCAGGGCTGTGCCCACAAGGAGAAGATTTACCTTTACCAGAAGCAATTTATAGTGAGTTGCACAGGAAACTGAGCTTCTTGACAATGGTGCAATAAAATACTAATTGACCTGTTTTACATAAAAGACCATTTCTTAGCATGAGTAAACTGGCATTAATGGAGCTGCCTCTGTATCACAAGGTCTGCCTTCAAAATAGAACTACGGTTGCAGCAAATTGCCTTATTATGCAATGGTACTAGGGCAGTCATTTATCTTGGTGGCTAATATGTCAGTGCCATCCATTTTAGCATTCTCCTTCACCTAAGTAAGCTCTCTGAAACCAGTGGGCCTGATTTTCATCTTGCTCACAATAGAACAAGTTCATGACTTCAACAGGTTTTTCTATGATTTACCAGTGTTTCTGAGATCAGGTTGAGATTTCATGGCCCTTCTCATACAAGAGAGTATAACAATTGCAAATTAGACTTAATTGCTTGCAGTTCATGTGATTTATCAGAAGGGTGTGAAATACACTGTATTTGCAGTGTTGCTCAGACCAAGCTGGAGAAGGCAGAATGGCTTTGCTTTCCCTTTAAGTTAAGCTGCATCCACTGTACTGCTTCGTTTGCATGGTTATGACTTTTTATTTTCTTACAGCTAAAATTTTGGTACATTGTGCAGTTGGAGTAAGCAGGTCAGCTTCCCTAGTCCTAGCATATCTCATGATAAATCACCACCTACCACTAGTTGAAGCCATCAAAACAGTGAAGGAACATCGATGGATTTCACCCAATCGTGGCTTTCTGAAACACCTGCGAAACCTGGACGTTCAGCTACGGCAAAAGAAGGACTGCTGAATGGGCAAACCTAGTGACATTCACTTCACAGAATTTCAGCCTTCATAGCCATTGTGCATATACAACTTCCCAGGATCAGTGCGCATAAAAAAAAAAAAAAAAAAACAGAAGAAAATTATGCATCAAAGTAAAAAGTCAACAGAACTGTAAATGGACCAATTCTGATAGCTCAGTTCCTCCAAGACCAGCACAGCCAACATCAGCACCATAAGCAGTGTTTGCTGCAGAGCTGCTGTGCCTAGCATGGTACTACCAGATGACTCCACTGAAGTGGTTAAGATGGACTGAGTTTGTTTCTGGTTTGTGCTAATGCCAGAGGCAAGTTCAATAATTGCATTAGCTGTAAAGGATGTTTGAGTTACCTTTACTTGGGAGTGTAGCATAATCAGCTTCTTTGGTTTGGTTACAGTTCTCATAAGAAAAGCTTTTTGTGTTTCAGGCCTGGTGATGTGGCCCGGACAGTTTCTTAACAGCCTAGGCATTTCTACAGAAACATTCCTTGTTCGATAGTCTGCTCAATATTACAGTGCTACAGAAAGCTGTGACAGCTGGAAAACCTACACGTCTGTGGGGTCACAGAATAAAAGTTTGAAGCTCTCTGCAGTCTGGATCAGCAAACCCATAGATCTTTTTTTGTTAAATAAGCAAGACAATGTATATCATGTAGCATATAGAGGACATTAAAAGATATGTCAGATCTTCAAAGCATTTTGTAAGCTTGAACTCATCAGTTCACTCTCACTCCAAATTATCCCAAATCAGTTCTGTGTCAGTGGCTTTGAATCATCCATGGTTTGATATGGGGTAGAAACTTACTTAGTTTACATCACTGGCGTGGCTTAATTGATACAAATTAGTTTAAAGCTGTTTTGAGAATGTCACTTTTTCTACCACCAGGTAATCGGTACTTAAACTAATGTGATTTTTAATACAGCAACAGCATTGTAAATTCTTGCTACCTCTCTGCCTGAAAGTTATCTTGTTACCTTGTGGTGAACCATGAAGTGATAATCAAATTTGGTTTTGACCTTTGCTACTGGTTTGATTTATTGATTAGTTGACCTTATAAAGATTCCCTGGCAGATTAAGTAAATGCATTTCTGCTTGTTTGTTTGCATTTGAAGCATCAGTTCTGATCATTTTCCTCCCTGCTGGAAGGGTCTTGCAAGGTTATTAGAAGACTAAAGTAGTGGTGGCTTGGGAGTTGAACCTCTTTTGTCCCAGACCCCAAATCCTCCTTAATACTTGGAGAGGTTATGACATGAATGTTGATTCTGCCTAGAGTTTATGAGAATGTAGAAATCCCTCCCTATTTCAGTGTACACAAGTGCTTTGCAAAATAAGCATATTTAAGATCCTTTCAGACATCAGTTTGAGTGTTCAGATTTTCCTAAACCTTGCCAAAGAGCTCCACTGACAAGAGAAAGAGAAGACATTGTCATGTAAAAAGATCAAATAGGAAATCACATTTAAAACCCAACAGAGCTAGGACAATCTTTATACCTCAAAAAACAGCAAAGCAGTGCAGGAGGAGCTGGGTTTGCTTTGAAGTTCTCCATTAAAATTAATAGGGATTTATATGAGTTAATATTTCATTATAATTTATACCTCATTCACATTAAAGTAGGTTTTAGTCTGGAAACCTTTTGAAGACATGGCATTGAAAAATCTGAAATTCATGTGAGTGAAATTATGCATCTTAATGGCTTTAGGCTGAGCAAAATTAGACACATGTGAGCGAGATTAATGGAATGCCCCCATCAGGATAATGCTTTGCATGCCCCTGAACATCTGTCCTACAAAGCCACAGCTGTGAAACCTGCTCCTGTTGTAAATTAGTACCTGTTCTTGGAGATACTGCTCATCCTGGGAGAGTGTTGTTCCACCAGGGGCAGAGATAGAGAAGAGTACAGAGCAAAACTGAGTCAGTAGAGCATCCTTGCCACCAATGACATGGTAGTGATCTTGTAAACAAGACTTACTGACCTCAGTGGAGGGAATGAATTAGTTAGAAACTCTTTTCAAGGGCACTGGCAAATCACAGAAGTGTTTTTAATCTGTGGAGTTAGTGTTGCCTATATTTCCTGCCTGTCTATATTGCTCTCTTTGTATACAGATTAATTTTGGCAGGTTTGTTCAGGGAAAAAGATTCCAGTCATCATAAGCAAAAGCAGAATTAGTCCTGTAACTTCTTAAAAGAGAAAGAATTGTCTACTGTGATATGATAAGAGGAAAAGGAGCCTCCTTACTACCCATAATTCAGGTCATGATGTGATATGACATTAGTACTTCACTACTTTCTGCTATCAGTGTATTTTGACTGTTGGCTTGGCCAGTTAGACTAAGAACCAAAACAAAAGAAAAATACTGCCTCACCCATGGCACTTTGTTCCGAAAACACATTTGTCAAGGGGGTCTACACAACCCAGGAGAATAAAGGCACTGAAAGTCAACTTCTAATGGAGGGAGGATTCCATTCTGGAAGATGTTTAAATACCTAAGGTAAGCAGGGGACCTGCTGAGCTGGCCACAGCTCCTAGGCTCATGCAGCAGTGCCTGCATACCCTCCCAGAAGCCCAGAGGAACTGTCAGTACTGGAGATCCTTCCTGAATGGGAGCTGATTACCTTCCACCTCCTCTGAAAGTACAGGTGACAGGCTTGCCTGCCCCAGGCTTGCCTTCTCATGGGGTCTTTCCTCAGTCTATTCTTAATTCCTTTATCCCTTTTCAACCTTTATTTTAGTGTTTAGCTGAAGAATGCATCTGGCAAAGTCCACAGCAGAACACATATGGTTCAGGAATGAGCTCCTTCTGTGGGAAAGGACTATGCCAGAAAGAAGAGTTAGACCTCCTTTGAAAAGGATTGGTGAAAACCAATTTTTTTGTTCTTCTGAGAGCAATATTCATCTAGACCCAATTCCTGAGCCACCTCACCAAGTGGGTCATGAGGGCTTGTGCCAGCTGAGTGTGTCTGTTAGAACAGTGAAAAGAACTGTCCCAGCTACAGCTCTGGCAGACTTAAATCTGCTTGAAGCAATCACAAAATCACCTGAAGGGACCCATATAAAGTTGCAGTGAAAACTTCCCTTCCTTTTATTTTCCAGTACAAGGACTGAGGGCATCAGATGAAGTCAGTAGAAGCCAGGTCTGAAACAAGAGGAAGGGGTTTGGGAAATCTGTGTAACACCTCGCCACAGGATGCTGCAGACAGTCAAAGCCTATACATGTTCAGGGGGCAACTGGAAAAGTTTATGGGACAGAAATTCATGCTGGGTTACCAAATACTTAGAAACTCCATCTACATCAGGCAGCTCATGAGCTGCATCTAGCTGAAAGCTAAGAGAGTGTAAAATGCAGTATAATTCAGGCTTGTACATTATTTTCTGTAGGCATCCACTTACAGCCACAGTCAGACGAAGGATAGTGGGCTCAGTGAACTTTTGGTAAGGCCCAGGACAGTTGCTTTCATGGTCTTTATTTTGAACTCACCCTTCAGATGGGCTGTCCCCTCCTTCCTGGTAGGTTATTATTAGAACTGGGTCACATGAGGCATTTGGGACTGCGTCTCAGTTATGTTGACTGACATTTCTTTCACAGGGAAAGCTCTGTGCTGGCAGGAACAGCAATATAGCTTATGTGGGGAGGGGAGTAGCTTTTTTTTCCCCTAAGATTCACTTAATGCAGAATTTTCATTTTTCTGGCTGTTCCCCATTGCAGCAGGGATGTAGCACTGAGCTAATCTGGGGAGGCGTCAAGGCGCGTGCTGTATTTAGAGTCAGCCACCTGCTCAGGAGCATCAAGCAGCAGCAAAGAGCATGCTTCAGCAAAAAGCCTCCCCTGTGGATTCTGCAGCAGCAGCTTCCAGCAGGCCCTCCTCTGTCTAAATCTGCACCTTCAAAGGGGTCAGTGCCTGAAGACAGTCTGACCCTGTAAGCCCAGGAATGCTCTGAGCCTGGCACTCCCTCTGCCCAGGAACTGCCAGATATTTTGGACATCTGCAAGGTGGAATTAAATCACGTGGGTGAAGAGTGGCCTAATCTCTACATAGGCACTATGTAAGTGTTATTTGAGGCTGAGCTGTTCTGAAGGGCTGGGGAATACAGTACTCATTAACATATGCTGTCCAACTTTATTTAGTTAGTGCTGGTAAACTTCATTGCCTTAAAATAGACTTAAGATTAACGTAGAAGAAAGCAAAAGGACTATCCATTAACAAAAGAACCTACTGAACAGAAAAATAATTAAAATGAGAATTAGACTCTCTTTATTACTTTGCATTATTTTGTAATTGTTCAACATATGGATTTTATAAATGCTGCAGCATTTACCATATAAAGCACAAGACAGGCTCACAATCCTGAGCAGCCTTAAAATTGAACAACGGTTGGGCTTTACTTTTTTCAGTTTAATTTTAACTAGAATGGAAATTTTCACATTTAAAAGGTATTCTGATATTTGCTGTTTATATGACAACTTGATTTGCATTTGAAATTTCTGACAAAAAGTTATGGTGTTCTCAATGACAGCAGTTTATCAATCAAAGCTGTGTGGATGGATGTTTCACTCTGAGGCATGGAGAAAGCACACGGTCATCTGCACTCAACATGCCTAGTGCCCAATGTTATGCTAAAACAGCTCTTTTCCTCCACCAGGAGGTCACAAACTTGTTGGAATATCTGGAAATTACAATTACAATAATTCGTACATGAGAGAAGCAGAAGGAACCAACAATCCTTTGGCTGATTGCTCATTGATTACATGTATAAGTGGGCATTCTTTTAGCTATGAAAAAGCAAAGCCGAAAAATGAGTTAGGTGATATTGGGAAAATAATCTGTGTGTACAAAACTTGGTGCACAGTGGGTGGGCACCCAGCAACACAGCTGTGCTGGTCGGGCCCTGGGCGTAGAAAGGCAGAAGCCAACATTAACAACATACAGTGCTTCACTGAACCTCTGCCTTGGTGATGAGCGTGGGAAACCAATCTTCGCCTTTCCAGTT